GAAAAATATTTCCCTTTGTGTTAATTATTTTTCTCACTGCTGTGATTTTTTTAAAGTGCCAAAAGCGACTTTAAAGAACAAAGAGTTCATGTTTGTGTTCACATTTTGAAAGTATAGTCTTATCACAGCAGGGAAGTCAGGGCAGGATGGTCACATCATGTCTGTAGTGAAGAAGCAGAGAGAGATTAAAATTTAACACATTTTTCTCCTTTTGATTCAGTCCAAGATCCTATCCCATGGGAGACTGCTACCCAAACTTAGGCAAGACCCTTCCTCCTCCATTAAACACTTTTGCAAATAATCTTATAGATGTACACAGATGTATGATTCTATGGTGATTCTAAATCCAGTCAAGTTGGCAAAGAGACTGGCCAACCCACAACTTCACCTCTTGTCAACACAACACCTGAGCTCATCACATTAAATTATAATATTTTACCTCTGGTCCCTAAAGTCTTATTTTCATCACATGATGAAAAATTAATTAGTAAATCTTTAAATGTCCCACAATTTATAACAGTCTCAATGCTCTTTAAAAATGCAAACTCTAGACTCTCTTCTGAGACTCAAGAAAACTTTAAACTGTAGGCCCATATAAAATCAAATTACAGACTTCCAGTGAACAATAGCACAGAATAAATGTTCCCATTCCAAAAGAGAATAATGGGAAGACAGGAAGTGCCAGACCAAAGCAAGAACAAAGCCTAGTAGGTAAAACACCAAGTCTTGCCATCCATGTCTGGCATCTGGGACTCTCAATGAAGTTATCTGGGCTCCCATGGTCTTCTGTAGATCTGTCTCTCCAGCAGTACCACCTACAACATAGTGACCTCTCATTTGGGTCAGATCTACTCTATGATTTCCTTGGTGAGTACTGAACAGTTCCACATCTCCACTAACCTGGGGTCTCCATTGCAACCTAGGCTTCACCTTTCCAGCTTCACACAATGGCCCCTCAGAGCCTCCTTGCAGGAAATATGCCTCTGCCACACACTGCCCAGACTCAGGCTTTCTGAAACCTTGCTGAAAGCCTCTATGGCCACCTTCCTTTTGTGTATTTCATGCTTAAAACCAGCACCATGTGGATGGTGTGTCTGTCTGATAGATCCTTCTCCACAAGCAGCTTTTGTATGCCTTCAAGGATTATCCTGGGGAAACACTTTTCTTTGGTTGCCATTTTGGAGCAGGGAACCCTGTTCGCGTTTTTCTCAGTTAAGGGTCTCTCCTTTCAAATGAATTTATAGTCTCACAAGGTGGAACTATGGAAAATAAAGTCTTGCCTTCAGGGCACCTTTTCTTTTGTCTCATGCAAAATACTAGACTGATCTTTGATATGGATAACCCCTCTAACAATTGCAGATGCTGTGGTAGTCGCCAGGGACTGCGCATGGCAGAGGGTAGGCATGAATACTACCCAAGAGAAAACCATTCACTTCCTTAAAATACTGAAATTTTAGTATAGCTAAATTACATAGTTCCCAAACATGAACTTGGTAAATGACAAGGTCATGTCACAACATCAAAATGACGTACAGCGGAGCCACTCACCTTGCCTTCCACTGTAAATTCACACCATTTTCCTCACTAAACTGTGTCATTGTGTTCCAGTGGTTCTTTCCACAATAGTCCCGGATAAGACCAGTCAGTAGTTACTATGACACAGTCCAAATGCTACGCTACCTTGAGATTTCTTCTCAAACAAATCAGCCCATTACTTATTAATTCAGTCTCTATAGATCTTACGATTCAGACATCATACAACCAGATTCTTTGCCAAAATGTAAAATGAATGGACTCTACCGAGTTCCTGATAGAGTTCCCCTCTAAACCTCGTGAGCTTTGCTCCACTATCTGTATTTGTTGATATTCTTTTCTTTCAAAATCCCAATAAACTTATTCATTAACCTCTGCTTATCATATTCTAGGCTTTCTTTGGGCCATAGCTGCAAAGACCTCCATGTTTCTCTTACAAACCATATCCAGCACATGGTCAGGTTTATTATAGCAATGGCCCCACTTCTCAGTACCAGTGTCCTACACTGGTGACTTTTCTGATGTCTATGGCAAAACACCTGTGAGTAGAGTACTGTAGTCAGGGCAGAAAAGGAATAAAGGCAGGGATGTGACGTGGCTCATCACATTGTGTACACAGACTGGAAATGGTGAGAGATAAATGCTCACTTTCTCCTCTTTATTCAGTCTGGGATCCCAGCCCTGGGATGGTGGTACCCACATTAAATGCTGGTCTTTTGGGCTCAGTTTGATCTTTCTTGAAACTCTCTTAGTCATACAAAGGTGAGTTTCATGGACATTCTAAATCTATTGATGTCATTAATGATGACCTATATAGTGTTCATCTTCCACAGTGTGCCCTTTTATGTGTGTTCCATGGGCACAGTGAGGTGCACATGCCTTTGTGGGCACACAGGTACCAGAGGAGGACAATAAATGTCCCTCTCTCTCTACACCTTAATCTTCTAGATCTGTTCTTTACTTGTGTTATGGGAACCCATAGCGAGACTGGCAGTCTTGATGACCCAGCAATCTCTCTGTCCCCTAGCAGCACCACTGCACTGGGTTATGGGTACACACATGGCCACACCTAGCCCTTAATTTTAATAAATGCATCATTAAACATCAATTATATGGTCAAGAATGCCATGTGACATATCTACAAGCTGACTCTCTTTACTTACTAAGTATTAGTTTATATCTATGATTACCCAGCCTTAAGAAAACAGCCTAATCCTAAAAAGATAAGCATTCCATCAAAGTCCATAAGGAGAATCTCATGTTTAACACAAATATCCTCATAAGTCTTATAGAAAATCTAGGTTCCAAAGATTAAAGTTTGAAACCAACATATATGAATGCTATTGCTGGGGACTATTTTACAAAATATCATTCATTTTATGACACTATTTTAGTAGAAACGGGCTACAGTGACTACTTCAGCAAAGAGTGCTGCAGAACCACATTGGGCTGAAGATTCATTCAGTGAGCGCCAAGCATCTTCTAAAGACCAACAGGCTTTCCTTCAAATTTGCCTCAAAGGGAGAGTAAAGCAAGTATACAGTGCGCAGACTGCTATACTTCTTGCTAGCCTGTAAATGCTACTGAATCACAGAGGCAAGCAATAACCAGAAACTATTAAGGGTAAAACTATATTTTGACAGTTCAACAAATACAAAGAAACACTTCACTTGAGTAATGCCTGTTTTAATTATGGGCTTCTTTTAACATTACAATAACAATTTGCATGAGTAAAAGCTTACATAATTTCAATTACAGTTTTTAATATACTATTCAATAAATACTCTGTAATCAACAATGATTACTTAGTACTACTGGAGTCAAACACATTACCTAAAAGGCCTGTGTCTCCTCAAAAGCAAATTAGCAAATGAAAGCAATAACTCAGAGGAGATGAGGGATGAAACGGTTCCAGGCAGCACTATGAGGGATGTTCTACATCCAATTCCCATTGGCCAAACTGTCTAGTAAGAGTCACAGCCAGCAGAGCTGCAGAGGGTGAAGCCCTTCTAAATGGAACAAAGTGGATAAAACAATGGTTCTAGTGGGGTATTCTCATGGATAATCACACAGATCTTTGTAAAACATAAAATTCTACTTAGAAAAGATGAGATATGCATAACCAGCCAAGTAAGCCTACACGTGCACAGAATATGAGTAAAGGAACGTGTAAACTATTTAATTTACTGCTGCCTTTTTTAAAGGAAAGGCTATATTAAATAGTTCTTTCCCTTGGCCATACAAAGTCATGTTTATTTATAGTAATTTTTAGTATATATTAAAATATTATGCTTCCACAAAGTGGTCCTATTACTCTAATTGTTGTGTTAATGTGCTTAACAGAGAAAGATTCTCCTTAAATATGTTTAATAATAAATGGGTGAACAAAGCACGAATTCTCTTCTAGAGCTAAAGATTTACATTTCCATATGACACTGACATGAGTAGATTCTTCCCAAGTCAATATGTACACATAGTTCTTTGTCAGAAACATGTTGGTGTTTCACTAAAAAATTATTTCTTCCCTTAATTTTGGAGAGACAAAAAGGCACAGTGTTTTCTATGCCTTCTAGTTGAAGGCACCTTCTAGTTTGAAGACTTCTAGCTGTTAAGATTCTCATCTGTACCTAGACATTACAGAACAAGGGTGTCCCTTCTGCAGTTGTTTTTAAGTTTTGAGAATAAAAATCCGTGTTAATAAAAATATAAGTAAAATAATAAAGTAAAAAGATTACTACTTATCTGGACTGAAAAGTAAGTTAGTAAATATGACATTAGCATCATTGAAGTTTATTTAAAAATTATGCATACACACTGGGAACAAAAGTCATTATAGGTGGTTGGCAATGGGAAAAGAATGAGGCTATGGATGCTTATGCTTCCATTTTAATAAGCTACCTTGAAAGAAACCTTTAAGTTTACAGAAAACTTAATCAGACGGTCCTTAGTGATCCCATGTGCCTCCCACCCCGTGTGTGAATTGCCTGTCCCACCAGAGCGATGCATTGGTTAACACCCAACGTCCTTAGCTAACGCTACTCCTTGGGAGGAAATTTAAAACAATGAAATTCTCCTACGAAGAACACATTAGTCCCATCCTTCCACTCTTTCTATTAATTTCATTATTATTTCTGAAATTGGCTCATCTGCACAAGAGAAAATTTCACAAACCACAAATCATTATCACACACATAAAAAAAAAAAAAATGACTGCTTTGTAACCAATTCAGCATCTGCTACAGATGCCTAGCATTCCACCCCATTGATGAGTTGTGCTTGGCAGGAGTTCCGGTTACCTGCTCAGTTACCTCACTTGGGAAGCTTTTCACATCCTTATAACCAGAACTTACACATAATTCAGTGACTCAGAATTAAATTCCTCAAACAGTACATTACATGGATCAGCTTAATCCATCTTTAGTTTTTACTTAGCCAAAAGAAAAAAAGAAAACGTAGTATGCACATACTCAGCTGCCTGTTTGAAGTGTTTCAGATCTTTCTTCAGGTTTTTGTTCTCACTCTCTAAATGCATCACCTGGCTGTAAACATCTGGAACATTCCCGAGTCCTCGAAAATCAGTCCCTCTCTTCTGTATTAACTCGTACCTAGGACAAATCAAACAACAGGGTTATCTCAGTTTCCTACTTAAAAAAAAAAAAAAAAAAAAAAAGACTATGTGTAATTCAATTATTTGCGAATTGTAATTCAATTATCAGCCCTAGGGAATTTGATGGAAATTAGTTGCTATGTTCTATTTCTAAGTTAAACCAAAATTAATATGTTTTTAAGATAAAATATCAGTTAATATGGCCTTTTAAAATACAATGGGTCATCTATGTTCCTCACATCTACTTACCAGAAAAGATGCCAGAACTGTCTCAGTCTAGCGGAGATGGTGATAAGTTCTGGGAAGTAGCGAGAATGAAGGAGATGGACAGGCAGCTGTCTGTACTGTTTTGTACAGAGAAGCCACAACTGAAAAGCATGAGTGACAGACTCCAACAGAGACTTGAAGGACAGGAGGGATGATGCCATGTGGGCCACAGAAGAGAGACTCAGAGGAGGCTGACAGAAACATAGGAGGCCCAGAGACATAGACATATTCAGCATGTACAAGAAAGAACATATGTAGAATAGTCAGAACTGAAGCCCTCAATGTGAGCAAAGGGGATGTTGAGAAATGTCAGAACCAAAACAAGGAGCCAGAATAAAAAATTACTTTACTCCCGATCAGAATAGGGCCATGGGAATGTTGGGGGGGGGGACAGTGAGCAGATTTATGTTTCAAATGGGTGAATCTATTCCAAGAAACAGATTCTACAAGAACACATGACACAACCTGGGAGAGACAGAATGGTAAACTGAACAAAGTGAAACACAGCAGAGGTTAGCAGAGGGAACCTGCTGTAAAGGGAGCCACCTGCTGTAAAGGGAGCACTAACAGGATTCGCTAAGGAATCATCTGTCAGGTATGAGCAGACGCAGTCAATGACGGCATCCATCCGGTTTCAGGGCTCAGTAACAGCCAGCCATTTACATAGTGGGAACAAAGACAGTAGGAACTGGCTAGTGGACAGAACCAAGGGTTTGTGTCCATCCAGATGAAATGCAGCATGCCTAACAGACATTCATGTGAAGGCAGATGGTGGATATCTATAGTTCAGGGGAAGTCAAGGCAGGCAACTTAAACTCACGTTTCATCAGTATATAAATTATGTTTTACAGTCGTGACACTAGAACAGACCAGTTCAGGTAGTGAGGTGACATCAACAAATGATGCCTGGGACTGATTCATGACATCCTCCACTGCTCCAAGGTTGGGATGAGGCGGAGGAGGCAAACATGACCAAGAGAATCTTAAGGCCAGAGCAGTCATAGAAACTGAGAGTGAGGACCAAGGGGTCAAGAGAAGAAGAAGCCCCAAGAAGGAAGAAACGAATGCTACTGGAAGAAATGAATGCTGATAAAGTTCGGAACAATCACTGGAAAGGGCAGTGTGAAAGTCACTGTTAAAAAGTTTTTGGGGTGGAAAAGACGAAAGCCGTGGTGGATAAACTAGGGTAGATGTGAGCAGTAATTAAAAAAGACACAACAAACTTTGTCAGGAAAGTGTGCCAATAAGGGAGAGACTAGGAAATCAAGATGAACTTCAACGGGAAGCAGAGCCAGAGCCAGGGAACTTTCCCTGGGTAAGTACTACGTCAGATATTACTGCACACCTGTGTGCTTGTGGTAATGTTCCAAAAGAGAGAAAAAAAAAAAACACGATGCAAAATGACAAACGCAAATGCAGTGACCTTGAGGAGGCAGAGGAGCTAGATTCTGGCAGGAAGAGGGATAAGGCTACAGAGGTTGCCTATGTGGTTCAGTATCTTAGCAGAAGAGAAAGGAGGTCTGAGGAAGAACCAGCAGGTGGGAAAGAGGAGAGTGGGAGGTGTGAAAGGCAGTGACTGAGGAAGACACAACCTCTGCCAAGTTGAAGAACTTAGGACTGACCTTGTAATTGCAAAATGGAAAAAAGACACAAATCGGAACTTTAAATCAAGACACATGGTAAAGCTCGTCCAGTCTCTAGCCCAGAATTAAAGATAAGAGAGTGGGGTTTAAGATCAGTCTGGCCTCACTGACTTTGCCACTTACTGGTTGTGACTTGGTGACATTTACTGAGGCAGATTTCCCATCCTCTCTAAGCCCATTTCCTCATCCATGAAATGAAGATATGTTAGTGGCTACCTGCCACATACAGTTATTGGGAGAAATGAGTGAATGCTGCATAGGAACAGACAGCTAATAAAAATGATACAAACTAAATTTTAAAGCAATTACTCTAAGACATCACCATTTTAACTATTTTATGCCATTTACATTTAACTAGCGTATTTATTTTTTGTACTAATTTTTTACATCTAAATATTCCCCTAGAAGGCAGACTTCTGCATATCTTAGTACATAAATCTATCTACATATATTTAATTGATCAAAACTGGCATACTGAAAATTGTAAGAATTATCATAGTAAGAGTCATGAAAATCCTGGGCTTAACTTAATGGTGATAGAGAGATAATGCTTACATGACACATAACCAGACGCCAATTCCTCACCAATTAAAGAAACATCAGTAGGTTTAAATGATGAAGGAATAACTAGCTACATGGGATTCACTGAGAGTTGGTATGTAGTCACACTACACATATACTTCCTACACATACTGAATAATGTGAAGGATTGTTTCAAAGTTAATCTTAATTCTGAGCTTTGGCTTTAAATAAACCTAGTCAGTCCCCATGGGAGACCTTGATTTGGGGGATGTGGGGATGTGGGGTGGCTTGGGAGGGAGGCTTGGGGGTGGGAGGAGGGAGGAGATGGGATCTGTGGGTGGTATGTAGAGTGAGTAGAAAATTTCTTAATAAAGAAAAATGAAAAAAAATAAAGCTAGTCAGTTGAAATAAGCTGTAACTATATTGCCCATAACTAAGTCATTACAGTCACCAAAAGCTGATGTATTTTTTTTTGCCAAAAGCTGCAGTATTTATTTTTGCCCAATGAATTAAAAAGATACACACTAATTAATAATCTCTTTAATTGGGAACAAATTAAGTTAGTGATTAAATACTATAAATAATTTCACGTCTTATTACCCTCGACAGGATTTTTAGCACAACCCCATCTTCAGGGTAATGACAGGCACAGAGGCAAACTGAAGTGTAGCCAGGATTGAACAGGAAGTAGGAAGCAAAGGCAGACTGACACCATGCTTCAAGTTAGAGGCTGGTGAGGACGACACAGATGGCTGAGTCCATGAGTCAGCCTCAGTGTGAGTGACTGGACATGTTCGCAGAGACGGAGGTGAAAGCATTTCAAAGTTACGCTGCCGTTTTCTCATCCTAACCTCTTTATTTTTGCCCTGCAGCATCAATTAACTTTATACATAAATACTTCTAAAAGAGACAAAAAATATAGCATTGGACAAACCTACAGTGGAAGCATGTTAGTGCTCCACAAACAGATTTCTACCACACTGACATACATATATAACTACACACATATATACAATTATATAAAATATACAGTATATGTAGACATAACACAGAAAATAACTTGAGGACTGTTGTTGGAAACTCTGAAATACTGATAATTTAGAACTCATAAAAATTGCTTTCTGCTTTGCGGTTCACAGAGACTCCATTGTGACTAATTAATTTTGCTTTCATAACATGAATACAGTCATTTCCAATATCTAAAAGAAATCATGGCTTTATTCCAATAAATTTTTATTTACAAACAAGAAGTAGGCCAGATGTGGCTCCCAGGCCACACATTTCTGACACTGGATTTAAAAGATGTATTGCACTTATTGTTTGAGGATTCACAGAACATAAGTCAAATATTGCTGCCCAAATTTTTGTTGGTATTTTTTTAGCACAACCTACCAACAGGCCAGTATTGTTGGTTACTTTTCTTAGAGAACATGAATTTACAGTAATTCCATATTCTTTGGGGTTTGTTTTTCTGCATTAAAAGTACATTCAGTCAATATGATTGACTGAATCATGAATACTTGGGAGGTAACACAAAAGAGCCATATGTAAGAGGCCAGAATGAGCTACATAGCAAGTTATATTTCACACAATAATTAAAACTAATGCATCCACTATTCTCAAATTATATTCCTACTATATGCATCATAGGTGACAGTTGCTGATCAAATTCAAAATATGTTATGTGAAAAATAATTATCCAGTATGGAAATAACTACAAAACAGCAACTACTGACTCCCCATGGGAGACCTGGATTTGGGGGATGTGGGGATGCGGGGTGGCTTGGGAGAAGGACTGCGGTTGGGAGGAGGGAGAAGGTGGGATCTGTGGGTGGTATGTGGAGTGAGCAGAAAATTTCTTAATAAAGAAAAATAAAAAAAAACAGCAACTAGAGATTGGGACAAAATTAGTTGAACCAAAATATTACTAAGCTAATAAACACACATTCATAAGTTTTATCTTTTGGTTATAATATAATGCTAAATGGGTATGTTTCTTGGGAACTCCTTATGTCTTAATACTACCATAGCTTTCTGAAATTTTATTTCATTAATCAGACTGCTAACTTAGACAGTATGCTTATAATCACCTACTTTTTAAGAATGTATTTGAGGCATGGCAGGTTGGTTCACTGGGTAAATCTGTCTACTGCACACACCTGGCTATCTGAGTTCAAGCCCCAGAACCTACATGTAGTTAGGGGAAAAGTGACTCCAATTGACCTCTCTACATGGGTGCTATGGCAAGCACATGTGCACAAACTAATGCATGCACACATACACACATAATAACAAAAAAGAGTTTAAAATAATACATATATAATATTTGGATCATTTGCTTAAAAGAGTCATTCCACACTTTGGAATAGTCTAACATGTTCTTGAGAGACATAAAAATAATTAAATCATACTAAGTTTTAATCTAATTAGAAACAAATTAATGACCTCCCCATATTTCTAATTTACTTGCAATTATTTCTTTAGAAAATTTATTTTTAAACCATGCACACAGTTTCCAGGTTTAAAAATAGCATTCTCCTCCTATTTCCCAATGTTCCATCTCTTGGTCTGCTATTAACAGAACTCATTTCTCCTCATAAAATCTATTATATTATATATACAGTCAAAATAATGAAATTTGACAAGAAATTGGGGTGAAATGAGGAAGTTGGGAGTAGAAGAGGAATGTCAATAAAATACTAATAATATTTTCAAAAATATCAAAAATTAAAAAATGAAACTGATTACTTCTGGGTGTATAATATCAGTGGACCAAGAAAACAAAAAGTAAATCATATACATCAGATGAATTAGAATTAGAATTCAGTCACAAAACTCTATGAACATTTTTTATAGAAGTCCACTTTCTATAATACACAATATCTGGTAACAATAACACTTACTTCATATCTGTCATTTACTATGTTTAAAAAAATATTAGGAATCCAAAAACCATTATTGTTATATCAAAAGAATAAAGATAGCATGTCTGCTGGTTTTCACAATCAATAAGACATTAAAATTTTTATTTTTAACAAGAAAATCATATTAGGGTAATATGTGAAAGGACAATCCAATTTAGATCTAAATCAAATAGTATTTTTAGAAAACTCAATCAGCTGTATAAATAGAGAAAAATCATTTTCACTATAAATAAAAAAGTAGTAGTGTTGGGGGTATCTAAATACACAAAAATGATACTGATACCATTATCAAGTATGAAAAACTAAGAGGAAAATATTTCAAAAAATAACATTTTGCTATATGACTCCAAAGGACATTTCATTCCCTTGATCATTTGAAAAGAAGCTAAATTTGAATACTGAAAAGGCTGTTGAATAAAGTTTTGTTGGGAAGGATTCCCCTGACAGTGTGTCTATATTATAGTTTTAACATAGAGACTGGAATGGTTTATCCCATACACGTAAGTTTACACTGATAGTGTTAACTGTAAATTGACAGAACCTACAGACACCGGGAAGGTGGGCCTCTGAACATCTTTTGTGGGATTGTTTTGATTTTGTTGGAGATGGGAAGATCTCTCTTAATGATGGACAGGACCATTACCTGGGCATGGGACCCTGGACTGTATAAAATGGAGACAATGAGCTGAGCACAAGCATGCATTCATTGGCCTCTGTTTCCTGACTGCAGATTCAGAGTGAACAGCTGCCTCGGGGTCCCCACCATAACAACTGTAAAAACCATGACATAATATGAAGTGACCCCCAAATACACCTTTTCTTCCTTTAGTTGCCTTTGTGTTTTATCACAACAGCAAAAGAACCAGAGTATTTATTATTGCAGAGTCCTTTAAGAAAGTTCAACTCACACAAGTAAATGTGCTAATACAACCCAGCCATATAATGATTTACCATTCAGCCTGAAAGCAGTTCAGCGTTCTGGTCATTCCCATTCTGATCAGGAAATTACAGAGAAAGTCTTCTATGGCTTCATGTACTACCTGCCTTGAAGGAAGAACTGTTTTCTGCTCCTGAAATTTAAATGCACAATTATTTATTCTGTAAACATCAAGATTTTGATTAAGGAAACAGATAGACTGTTCACTTACTCATTTCGTAATAACTTTTTCTTAAATACTATGTGCCAGGGTCTAGTTAATGATGAGAAATAAAGCATTGGTAAAACAAAACATTTCTATTCCCAATGTAATAGTTAAGTAGATAAACACAAAATATGGATAACTAGTTGTGTGTGTGTGTGTGTGTGTGTGTATGCCCATGCACAGGCGTGTGTATATCCCACACATTCTGACAAATAGTAGTATGTATCTAGGACTATAAGGGCAGAGTCTCGAAGACAGGGAAATCCCCATGTGTGTAGAGTAGTGTAACTATATAAAAACTGTCATAGAGGAAGGTTTCATTGAAAGAGTGAGATTTGGGCCATAATCACAAAGATGCAAACCCAAATGTTGAAATGATGAAAGATCAAAAGAATTCCTCTAAGTTATCAAAGGATCAAAATCAAAATAAAAAAAATTCTGTGAAAAAAAGATCTTAAGTATATTTAAAAGGACTCTCTTGTTTACATTTTTAAAAGGAGGCTTATTTATAAAACATAAAATATATAACACTTCAGAGGCCATTTCATTCAACAAAGTAGACAATATTATATATTATATAGCTATGAAATTTTAGATATAATAATGGCAGTTGTGAGTATTCATTAAGAACAGACAAAGCATATTAATCAGGAAACAGGTCAGTACAAAAAGGCACTGATGTGTCTCACTCTGAGGAGTCAGATGAGCTGAGCTTTACAATTGAAGTCATCTGAATTACAAAGTTTAACCCCTTATGGTTTTTAAAAAATCTGTAAAAGACAAACTGAGTCACCAACACATCATATGATCAACTACAGAGCTGAGACCTCAAGAAATGTTACAATCACTGATGCAGACCTACAAAAGGACATCATTTCATTTACTGGGTGTGTTAATATTTTGTTTATGCTCTAACAAATAAAGCTTCCTAGCCCCCTAGTTAACCAGAGGCCAGGCCATGATGGCACACACCTTTGATCCCAGTACTTGGGAAGAGGAAACAAGAAGTGATATGGCTGGGTGGAGAGAGAAATATAAGATGGACAGAGACAGGTGGGTTTCCCCCCCCCCTTTTCAGTCTGAGGATTCAGTAGAGGTAAGAAGTCTTTCTAGTGGCTGACTGCTCTGTTTCTCTGATCTTTCAGCTTTCACCCCGATATCTGAATCATGGTTTTTATTATTAAAACCAGTTAGAATTTGTGCTACAACTGAGGTGGTTTTGGAGTTCTGTGTACATGCACAGGGTTCACATTCAAAATACCAATGTTACAACACCTTTTTACAGAGTCTGATTTAAAAAAAAAATGCATAAATGAATTAGCCTTCTAAAAGATTTTACACAATTTCTACCTCCAGTAGTGGAAATTGGGTGAAAATGAGGTACATTGAAGAGTGAATTGTAAAATATAATAACAATTAAAATTGTGAAATGAAAAGACTAGTAACAAACTTGAAGATATAAAAGGGATTATTAGAAAAGTAGATTGCGGGCAACGATAATGATTCAGACTGTTGGAGCGACCACACATATGCAAACATTAACTGTATTTTGAGACCTTACATCACTGTAATTATCTGCTCTCTCTCTTTCAGGGCATGACTCAGAGAATACATTCCCATTCTTCTTCTGTATGGCTTTGCTCTTTTCTCATTTTTCTATAATTCATTGTGTTCCAAGATGAATATCCCCTACTCCATTTTTTTGCGTCTCCTAAACAATGTTTCCCTGATGTGGTGGACACTGGGAATCCATTCAGTATGCACACACATCCAAACCACAAACCCAGCAGAAACATGACTAATGATGGACAGTAACACCACTGTCAAACCAAGCAGTAAGTTGGCTGGCTTCTTCAGGCATCTATACCTAGAATTTCATCATCAGGAAGGAATGTCAATGCAAACAAATGGTCCATTTTTAAATGAAAGTTTTCTTGTACCATATCACATAGCCAACCTACCCCTCTAACATTTCTGGAAACATACACCACTGGTTACTTCCTAAAGTTTGTTCTTAGAGGACTTGGTTGCACAAAATGATCACTTGGTGACTGATTTTGAATCCATTTTATTCTGCAAAGTCCACCAATCTACAAATAATAATTTCTAAAATGCTTCACTTTCTCCAGTTACTAATACAGAAATAAGTAGATGTGTTCTAGAATTTTAGAGTACAGCAGGAGCATGTAGTTGACTTAAAAGTAAAAATAAATAAAAACTTGAAAAGTAGTAACAGTTGATTTTTTTTTCTTTAAAAAAATTTTATTCATTTTATATACTAACCACAGATCCCCCTCTCATCCTTCCTTCCACTCCCCCACCCCTGCCTAACTCCCCTGACCCATCCTTCATCCCCTCCTCCAAAGGGGTAATTTTTCCCATGGGGGAGTCAGCAAAGCCTGGTACGTTCAGTTAAGGCAAGACCCAGCCCCTTCCCCTGCATCAAGGGTGAGCAAGGTCTCTGACCATAGGTCATAGGATCCAGAAAGCCAGCTCATGCACCAGAGATAGATTCTGATCACATTGCCAGGGGCCCCTCAAACAGATCCAGCTATACAACTGTCTCCCATATGCAGAGTGCCTTGTCCAGTCCCATGTAGATTCCACAGCTTTCATTCTAAAGTTTGTGAGTTTCTATGAGTTTGGTTCAGTTGTGTCTGTAGATTTCCCCATCATGATCTTGACCCCCCCCCCCTT